ACACACACACACACACACACACACACACACACACACACACACACACAGAATACACATCTAGAGTGTCTGGGGGAGGAATTCTAACAGGCTAACTAAGGTGTTGTAGACTTAAGCAAGATAGTATACACTGCAGTAACAAAGGCTCCGATTACAACGCTGCCGACACTGTAACCTTTCTTTTGACCCTCCTATAAACGTATTAGGGTAGACACTATTACCATCTTTCTCTTAATCAGAAAGAAACAGAGATGGAGAAATTAACTTTTCTAAAACCATACAGTGGGGTCTTAGCTTGAATACGGCTCAGTCGCGGGTACTCTACATACTAGGCTATCCGATCGCACAGTTTCTCGTGGCGATTAGTCTCATATTCCGTGAAGACTAGCTTTGTTTGGGGGGTAGAGATGGAGCCTAGAGTCTCATGCAGGCTAGCAGAACAGTAGCTGCTTCCATAGTCGGGCAGTTCCGATCTTAATATTTACTTCATCCAAACTATTCATGGCTTCCCACACCTAGAGAGTAAGTGAAAAGTCTTGAGCTTAAAATTTTAAGTGGTGGTTTTACTATGTCTTTGGCCTTATGTTTCATAACTCGTTGCTGTATAACTTACCCTCTAGAACCTTGATCCAGAAATCTCTCAGGTCTGTCCTGTGATTCCTTGACTCCACGTGTTTTCAAACTTAAACAATTCTACCATCTTTTGAATTAGAGGTGGAACAGTACTTCCTCTATGGATGTCTCTGATAACTCATAATCAATCTTCCTGGCTTTAACTATTAGAGTGCTTTTTTTTTTTTCCAGACGAGTTTCTCTGTGTAGCCTTGAGTGTCCTGGACTCACTTGTAGACCAGACTGGCCTCGAACATTGACCTGTTGGAAACTAATATCTATTGAGATACTAAAAGTATTGATTTACAAATATTTATGTGGAAAGTTCTCCAGGGGAAGATGTAAGTTAAAAACTAAAAGACTGGGCTTAGAGAGAGACCCAGTGTTTAAGAGGCTGGCTGCTTGTCTACAGGACATGGGTTCAATTCCCAGCACCCACATGTTGGGTCACAACCATTGTTAACTCCAGTCACAGGAAATCTGAAACCCTCTTCTTTTTTAAAAGTTTTATTTATTTTATGTATATGAGTGTTTCATTTTCATGAATACCAGAAGAGGGAGTCAGATTCCATTAAAGATGGTTGTAAGTCACCATGTGGTTGCTGGGAATTAAACTCAGGACCTCTAGAAGACTTGCCAGTGCTCTTAACTGCTGAGCCATCTCTCCAGCCCTTGAAACTCTCTTGCCTCTTGTGAGTCAACCCTCTGATGTGGTGTTTGCAGAGACCCCCACAGACATGCACGCAGGTAAAACATACACAAAATATAAAATAAAGGACTGTAAACACTCACACACAAAATAGTTGGATGACTCCAGTTAACAGTGGAAAGTGTTGGTGTTGGGAAGTAAGGCAAGATCCTCTACATTTCTCTTACTGTACTCATAGATTTATTGCAACAGAAAATGCTAGAGTAAAAATAGGTGTGATTAATTGATGAAATATAAATCAGATTGGAACTGATCAGGGAATGGGTGACAATTACCAGTGATTTAGTTGTTCAATTTGTAAACTAGTGACACTTTGCCTATTGTTTTTGGAGTTGCCTATTGTTTTAGGAATTAATCTTGGATTAGACTTTTATAGTAATGAAAATGAAGAAGAAGGAGGAGGAGGAGGAGGAGGAGGAGGAGGAGGATGGGCTGGCAAGATGGCTTAGTAGATAAAGGCATCTACTGCCAAGCCTGATGATCTGAGTTCAGCCCGAGACCTGCATGACCTTTCAAAAGTTATCCTCTGCCACACATCCTCTATGACATACTTCCACGTGTGTGTGCGCACATACACACTATAAAAACCAAACCAAACCCAAATTTATGTGGCTTTTTAAGACAGGGTCTCTAAGTAGTTCAAGCTGGTCTCCAGATTCCTATATAGCCCAGGCTAGCCTACAACTCATAACCCTTCTGATGCGGCCTCTCTCTGAGTGCTGGGACCACAGCCATGTCTGGTAACACTTTCCTGAGGTGTCTCATACCATTTCACATGCCACTGGTACTCAACCCTCTTCAGTTTAGTGAAGACTCTCTTTGGCCTGATATCTAGATTGATAGATGGATTGTACAAACGATCCTGGGACCTTCTGGGAAGAAAGAGCCTGAGCCCTCTCACACATCCTTCAGATGCAGAAGAAATCTACTGCCTCCTTTGACGGAACATCATAGACAAGAAATAAAGAAAGAATGCATAGTTTAGGTTGCCAACCTAAGCTTCCGTAGAGCCTGAAGATTATTCTTCGCTGGTTCTAGTTTGTGGCTGAAGCCATGGGCATCTCTGAAATTGGCCAACCAGGCACAGATCTGTGCACTGCGACCCAGAGTGGCACGTGTGAGGATGAACTAAGAGGGCTGACAGCTTTGCTATCAGAACTTCAGGAATCCATGAAGGCCCAAAAGAACAGCATTCCAACAATGGGCCTACACTCCCCAGAGATGCAATGTGGCAACAATTGTGAACTGTGAACAAGATGGCTGATTTCTTGTGCCTGGATTGTTCTGGATTGATCAATCCCCTGTGACTCAGGGACCAAGAGTAGGGAAAGATTTAAAAGAGAATAAAACTTTCTCAAAACTAAGGTGAGGTTGGCCTCCAACAATAACTGCACCCCTGAAAACCTCACACGATACATGTCAACTTTTAAATGACCATCCCATGTCATCTTATGTTGATCTGTTGTGATCACTTGAGTTATACTAGGCATTAAGAAAACATTAAGGGAGAATTGAAGGAAGTGATCAAGGGTGGAGGGAATTTGGGGCCAAGAAAACAGATTTGCAGGGTGGGGTAGGGGAGGGGCGAGCTGTTGCAGGGGTTACTCACTGGGTTGATGTGTGTTCCAGTGTGTGTACTGTACTGGCTCAGCGCCCTGCCCCACGGTCTTCCAAGTGTACTCTCCTGTATTGTTTTGGTCTTGAAGAGCTATCCAAAAATCCTTTGTTTCTGTCACACTGCTGATCAAACTGGTAATGAAAGCCTGTTCAAACCTTGAAAAAAAATTGTTATACTAAGTTTCTGGACAATAAAAACATCATTAAAGCGCAATGAAGTGCATAGAATGGACCCAGGGTAAGCATTTCTTGGTAATTCTCTAGAACTCAGAACCAGAAAATGCACAAGGGCCTTTGTATTTGTTAATAGATGTCACACGTCAGTGCAACTCCAGAAGTCCTTGAGTAGAGAGAACATGACTCCCGAAGATTTAACTCTTGTAACTGTTCCAAGGACCAAAGTCCAGGTCTGACTTCGCAAAGAAATGGCAGCCTCCACATACACAGCAATGCACCCCTTGGAGAAAAATGCTATCTTATATTTAGGCTCCACACCATACACTGTACCATCTTACGCATGGGTTAGGAGAGATGGAAGGGAGCAGGGAAGACATTTTACTTTCTGAGTGTGCATTTTCCACCTTGGAGCACGCGTGTGCCCTCTCCCTGCACTTGCTTAGTAAGGAAGGAAGTGGAGGAACAATTTTATGCCTCCCAAATCAGTCTGTTCACACACATATGCTGTCTTTCGCTTATTCAAATGTGTTCAAACGCGTATTTTCACTGAAGATAAATTTCAACAAATCCAAGGGATTCTACCCACTAACATTTTCCCCAAGCAGCTGAATGAATTTGCTCCCAATGATTATTGGCAATGCTCCCTTTCAAATATAAACACATCCAAGGCAGATGTAGACAACTTGTATATTCATGCTTACACACACACACACACACACACACACACACACACACACACACACACA